GAGTGCGCCACCCAGGCACCGATGAAAACGTGAGTGGCGTCTGGCACCGCCGTCGAGGTGGTGAAAAAAATGAGAGTGTCCACACGAGGTCAACCGGCTGGTTGAACCTCCTCTCCGGCACCGGAAAAAATCGTTAACAGTCAGATGTTAACCGATGAATTTTCGACAGCCGTTAGCAGCTAGCCGTTAGCCGCTAGCTGGCAGCCATGGGTAGCTGCTAGCCGTCGTTAGCCCCACGTGGTTAGCCGCTAGTCGTCGTCAGCCAGCGCAGCCGGGACGTACAGCCGGGACGTACAGCCGCACGCCCCGAAGAAATAAGCCCACGAGGTAGCAATCGGGTTGCTGGTCGACCCAGCAGGTCGTGCATCGTCCCCCCCGTTGGTTGGAAAGCCGATGCGGGAACGGCGAGCAACGTCCCCAGCCTTCTGAGGGGCGTGCACCGAGCCTCAGTCCACGTGCCGGTGGCAGCCACGGACGATTCCAAAAAATCCTCGGCATTTCGAGAAAAAAACTTGCGTTCTTTTTGCCGTGTTCGGGTCCGTCCCGGAAACTTCTCGAGACGTGTCAGGGTCACCAGTGTAGTGCCGAGAGATAGGGAGTCGGAGGCGGTGCAATGGAGGTGCAAAAGGGTACTTTATTGGAGAGCAACTAAGGTCATGTTGTCCGGTTGCAGTCTGGGAAGAAGAGAGAGAAGCCAGGAGGGCACGCAACATATATAGTAAACACATAACATGTCCGTGTGGGAACAATACCCCCAACTGTAGTTCCATGTATGAATTATGTAACCCAGTGTATTAATAGGTGGTCACCACAGCACTGCCATTTCCCCACATAAACATAACAGTCTGCGATGAAATGGTTGTCTCCTGTGTGCTCCACTTCCTATTGGCGCACCGGTAACTTTCTCTGCGCACGAGAGGCTGAGACCTTATGCTAACCAATTTTGACTTATTTTGTATGTTTTGGATGAAATAATATGACTGTAGCCTATAGGTGCGAAAATAAAATAAAAAATTTAATTTTTTTTTGATGAAATATTTTCATATACTTATAATTCTGCAAATATTACGATAATCTCACAGTTATTTCACGGCCCGGCAGTAACACCTCCGCGGACCGGGGGTTGGGAACCCCTGCCCTACACTACAGGTTAGCTCTGAGTGTTAGCGAGGTTTGCTAATGTAAACAAAGACGAGATTACGTCCAAAACACGTCATGCATTGTTTCTGATAGCAACTTTTTGTGGGTCCGCCACCGATTTGGCATCATATCGGCAGCAAATCTGTATCTGCTCGTTGTACCCCCCGTTTTTAAAAGATTTGGGTACGGAGGAAAAGAGAAAGGGTTTTATTTTCTGACGCTGCATGAGTTCCCTGGCACACCGGGGACACATATTTATGTATAAAATACATAAAAAAGTGCATTTTGCATGATAGATAACAACTTTAGAGTCCTAAATGTGGAAAATGGAACAGAAATGTATAAAAATGGGTTTTCTGCTTACTATTAAGATATTGTCTTAAGACAGGGTGCTTTCTTCACAGTTTGAGCTGCATGACAAACAGGTTAAACAAATTAACATTTTAGTAGTAGGGGTAGCAACCTGACCGAGAAATATAAGGAAGAGATACTGTATTTCATTTAAATAGCTTGATTAGGCGTGATTAAAGTATTAAATGTTTAGTCGGGGTTAGTAAACAGTAGAAAGCAGTTGCTGTGTTAACTTCTTTGATACATCTGTTATTTAGTCATTCTCTCTTTCAAACGCTCACAACAGGGTTCGTAATGTTGGAACAATGTGAAGACAAACGGTCTGTCAAAATAAGTTACAGGAGCAGGAAAAGTGCTTTGGACCTAGCTGCATCTAATCTTCCTGCCAGTAACAGCTTCAATTCATTACATCCAAATCAATCAAATATAATTATGAAACGCTATCGTATTGACAACGAAAATGCAATTTGCTTTTTAATTTGATATAAACTTCACTGCTCATAGACCAAATAGAGACAAAATTATTCTCTCTGCTCTTGGCCTGAGCTGTCTTTTACTTGGGAACTCAATAATAAATGTTTGTGCTATTCAAGGTTGAATGCCAGCAGTCAGTTTCAACAGCACAACAAAACAATAATTACAGCTTTTCTTTTGGGGCAAACTAGATCTCATGCAAGTATGAGTCAGTGCACCTTTTTGTATCCCTCGTGATAAAGTGTGTTATGATTTTCAAAAATGTTTCAGCTGTAAAAACAAGTGTGCCAGGTCATTTATCAAAAGAGAATACTTGTTTATAGTTGACTTCTTAAGAGTACTACTCTTAATGATGACATTTTCTCAAAAGCAAGACTTGAATACAAAAAATATATTGAAGAAAAATATGTAGTATACACACTTCTTAGAACAATCTTTACATTATATGACTACATAGCTTTGAAAAATACGTATCTTATTATTTATTCTGGGTTACTTTCTCTCTGCGTTGTTCTGAGTTTCCATTTGCCCCACCTTATGAATTACACTGCTAACATTAGAGACTTACAATGGCCTATCTCTAACCACTATCATTTGTGTATCTTTCCTAAGAGTTTATTTGTTCCTACTTCACAGCAACAGACCTTTTGATTTCAAACACCAGCTGCTTTCACTTTTTCAAAGTGTATATCACAAAAATCATGTATGTGTGGCTTTGTGGCATGTTTGGGCTTCTCACCTCTCCAGATGACAGGACATTGTTCATGTACTCGAGGAAGGATTCCTCTTTGATTTCGTTGTCAGTAAAGAGGAAGCTGATGCCTTTGCCCTGTTGGCCAGCTGTTCTGTACAAACCCTTCAGGTCGTCCATCAGGTTGGCTGTGTTGTATGAGCTGGCAAAGAACAGAATGCATCAAATACATGAAGAGTGAAAGTGGATTATCAATGTATGGAATTAATCGCATGACTCATTGGTGACAAACTGCATCAACAGAATAGAACAGATTTAAAATGACAACATTTAAAAGCAGGGATCGTTTTTACTTGAAATCAACGTAAAAGTTAGATTTCAGAGAATCAAATTGTGTCTGCACGAGAAACAGAGTATGGCCCTGCATGGAAAAGGCAACTGTGTAAAAAGAGAAGAAAACATGGTCCATGTTTTCTTCAAGTAGGGCTGCAGAGTCGAGATGGTCATTTATATTACAAACACTAAAATCTGTGAGGCAGAGAGCATATGGAAAATAAGACTGCGACAAATCAACATGGGGACTTAAGGAGAAAATCATTTGACGGGTTGGTAGAGCAAGGGAGAGTCCAGAGTGAGACACAGAACAATGAGAAAGGCTATTTGTAAGCCAAAGCAAGCAGAGAAAAATGACACAGAAAAAGCAAAGGAGCGTTTTTCTTATTCTGATCAATCAAGTGCACTGAAGAGACTCTCATAGGAGACAATTATATTGTGTCAAAGAGAAGACACAATGGATGAGGGGCCAGGGCTGCAAAGATATTAAACAATAACTATCATCTTTCAGAACTTCCTTTTGATTTGCAGATCCTGATTAATGAATGATGAATCTTTATCAAATGTCAGAAATGAGACAGAATATTCATACTTTGTAATGGTGATCAGATATTTGCACACAGAGCACAAGTTTCCGTTTGATCTCTTGACTAAACAGAAGAACCTATACAATTCAACCTATTGAAATCAAAATGATGTATTTTTTTTCTATTGTATGTGCGCCTCACCGTGTGAGAGTTATCTGGAAGATCTTGTATCCAGCAATGAATGAGGCCAGTCTGGTCAGGCTCTGTTTGCCTGAACCCCCAACACCCACCAACAAGGCATTTCCTCCAGGCGTCCGGATTATCCTCGACACCTACACACACAAAAACCCATCATACACATAGAACTAGGATTCATAAAAAGGGAGAGTTTGTATGTGACAAGCTGTGAAGGAGAAAAAAAGAAGCAAGAGAGACAGAAAGACATATGGTGGGATTGAAAGTGGGAAAGCAAACAAGTTTACAAAAATAAAAATACACAAAGTTAAACTGGAATGACTGTTTTTGGGGCTTGTAGGGTGTCTGAGCATTCAATGAAAATGAACAGTGGCCAGTGACACAACTTCAATGGAAATAGTTTTGAGTTTGACAACATATCGTTTTGTATGCATTCATGGCGTCACACACACTTTTATACTTTCTGTTCTGTTCTATAACGTAAAAAGCCTGTGACTTTCATCCTGATAATATTAAGATTTCTTCATTTTTAAAAACACACCAACGTGGGTAAATGATTAGTATATTTTGAGTACCTTGACCAGATGCATTATAGCATCCTGAAAGAAGACCATGTCCATGCCAGTACCCCTGATGCTCTCATTATAATGGCTCAGAAACATGTTAAGGCGCTCCTTTAAACTCTCAAACGATTCGATAGGCTCGTACACTTTGGGCAAATCAAAGTCTGATTCCTCCGGCTCTTCTCCTGTAAGGAAAATAAAGATTTTATTTTAAAATGATCACAAACAGCAGGCAAATTTCAGTTTTATTTGAGAGGGGACAAAAACACTGCACTGAAATGTTCCAGTGCTGTATGTTTTTGATTGATCGGTACCTGTAGCCTCAGGTGCATCTCGTAGAAAGTCAACAAAGAATCTGTTTAGTCCTTCTCCATAATCCGCTATGTTCTTGTTGTCCTCGACAAACTCCTCCTCTACAAGTTCTGCCAAAGCGTGGTCAAACCACTCCACGTCTTCAGGCATGGTAAAACGGTCAGCTATCACACGACTGCACTCGTGCTTCCACAATGCCAGCAGCACCTGGAAATGAGCATTTGTGTTAATGTTCCTATTCAATAAAGTAAGCTCAAAAACCTTTGGTTGTTTAGTCTCTCGAGTGTCTGGCAGTACAAGACAGCGGGATAGGCGAGTGTTGCTTATGAATTAGCTCATTCAGTTCAGATAGCATAGCCAAAATGATGAAGTAAACATTTCATTTATTGGTAATCAATACTGTCATGTATTCTGTTCTGAGTGGTCATGTCTTTTTAAAACACTTGAATCTTGCAGTCTCGTGTTGAGTTTCAATTTTGGTAATTCTGAAGTTGCACTTGCTATTTTCCTTACATAGGTGCATGTACACCATTAAGTATGGCAAAAGGATGTGCACTCATACTGGTCGAAAAGTTGAGTATGGAACCCTTAACAATTTATACATAACTCTAGCTTTCTAACAGTGACAATTTTCATTTCCAGTGTGCCCAATGATACAACACTACCCTGAACAAATGTACACAAGTATGTGTGTGAACAGTGCACTTCAGGATATATCCAAATTAAGAGACACAGCATAATTCTTCTGAGGTGAGTTGAAAGCCTCAGCAGGGATGTTGAACATAGTTGCCATGACCCTTGGCAGCGGTAGATGATATATTTCATTGCATTCTATTATTCAGTGAGGCCACAAAACAATAGGCAATGTTGCCACCTCAGCAAGAATCGAGCTTAAATTGCTAGAATTGTTTATTCTTCCCTACCAAAAGACAATTATCTTTCTCAATTCCTACATTAGCTGTACCATATAATTAGGGGTTTCATCATTCTCTGTAAGTGCCTTTACACTACTGCAGTCTATAATACATGTATCTGCATTTACACGCTCACATGCAATAAGTCTAGTGGGAGGAATAATATTACAGCATTGCAGAAACCTGTTCAAAACTAATCTATCTAATCTAAGGCTGGTATATGTGGAGTATTAATCATACAGTATATACTTTGTGTATGTATCACACACAATACGTTCTTAGCAGTAGGGCTCACGGTGCAGTGAGGGGCTTAATTTAGGCTTATCTATAGTATTTGTATTGTCAGTTGAACTTTTCTATATATTATCTTAATCTTATTAGCTGTGTAACTTTCCCTAATTATATGACATTTTAGATTTAAAAAAAAAAAACGTATATTTTAAACTTCTTACCTGAACAGAGTTGACCACCTCAGGGTTGGTATAAAGCATGCCTTGCCAAATTCTGGACAGATCCCTTAGGTTAAAAATGTAGTGAAACTTGGCCGGAGTTGGAAGCATCTTGACCTTGGTCAACTGCCAGAGCCGGCGGGTCAGAGACACCAGACGAGGTATGGTGCTACGAACGTCATTGGCAAATCCACGACGTGCACAGAAGTGGCCGATGCCAATCACACCTACATTATAGGTGATTTGTCAGTTAAAAGGTGGCATTGTTACCAAGGCATGTATATTTATCAAAGGCATATGACACAGTAGATAATGTATGCCATTTTGTTAGTACTGTAGTATACGTTTTTTATACAAATTCCTTAATATTATTTAAATAATTCGATTCAATTCATGCCTCAATAATGGTTCCACTGCATTCTTTTTACCCACCAAATATCTTGTCAATGGAAGTGTTGGAGGGCAGGGTACAGTTGAAAATGGAGAACTGCCTTTTCAGTCTCTGTGGGATGTCATTACGACCGCCTCCTGGATGGATCATGGCAGCTAGGAACTGAACGTCCACAATATTGGTGAACTCTCCCGGTTTCTCCAGATTGAAGAACCCGTTTTGCTCCATCAGCTGCCTGACAATCTCATTAGTCACCTATGATGAAGAGCCAAAAAGCAATGTTAAATCAAGAAAATGATTATTTATTTAGTTTATTCTTTTTTGCTGTTATCATCAGTAAATTGTTTTGCATCATTTAAATAGATCAGTAATGTGCAACAAAAAAAAAATGTATGAATGCAATAAAAAAATGATGATAGAATGATCCTACGTGGGATTCAAAGAACAAAACTAGACTCATTAACATGAATTGAGGTAGATAGTGAAAATATACTCTTAGTAGTTCATTTAATTAATTAAGGTTAAAATGACCCCTAACCTGGTCTCCCCATTCGTTGATGACAGGCATGTTGATGTCATCTATAAAAATTGACATTTTCTTGCCAGCAGGGGGTCCGTACGTTGTCCCCATCCTCTTATCCACATAGCTCTCAACTGTCCTCTAGAAGAGAGAACAAAATAGGACAAAAAAAAGGACAAAATAGGACAAGACATATGGTTATGAAAAAGACAGCAAAAAGTGAAGGACAGATCTGGTAAGTTCCAAAAACAAACATTGTTATAAACAGCTCAATCAATGCAACTGTGGAAGAATAAGACTGTGGTCCGTCCTCCACCCTGCACATTATTAGTCAGAGTTAACACAGGTGTAGTGCATCAACTTTAAGTTGAAAATGGCTGAAAATGAGACATCAAGATGTATACGAATGAAGGGGAAAGTTAACAGACAGTTCTAATTTACCTGGAACATGAGTGGTGTGGTCGCAGAAGATAAGTTGAGACTCTTCCCAATGTGGGCCTCAGGATCATACTTTGACATGTAGCCCTTGATGATAACAGTCTTGGCTGTTCCTTGCTCTCCAATCAGCAAAACAGCCTAGCAAAAATGAAAGATGTATTGTGTCCGGTCCTCTATATGCACAGATAACGTAGTAAAGTAATGAAATGTAATGTTTCATACAATGTAATATGACTTTTTATGACAAAATTAACTACAGAAATGGCAGTTCATTGTCATGTTGATCTTAAGATTTAAACTGTTGACTGAAACTATATGGCATTTGTTTCGCTATGGCATTAAATAGGACTCTTAGGTCAGAAAAGACACCTCAGGAAAGAAGAACAAACTGAAAAAGGAATAACAAAATAATCTATGTTTTTCAATTTTTTGTTTTGAAGTGATTGGCTAATCAATTTTTTTAAAGATCCATAAAACGCTATGTTGGGGGTTGAAGGTCGTTGCCTGTGTATCAGCCATCTTCAACGTCTACCCTTCGTAACAGCTTAACATATTAAAATAATATTTGGTTTTAGTACATATTTGGTGCACACTTTATATCCATCAGCCTCTGAAAAAAGCTGATTTACCCAGTAAATGGAAATGTAAGAGCTTCCTAAATGAAATATCAACCCCACACACAGCAGCTCTTTACAAATACACTAACATACAGACGCTCCCTACTTTCCTCTTGTGGCATTTTGAATCTGAATGACTCTTTCACACATGCATCCAAACACACACAGACACACACTGTGGATGAATGCGAAGTGTTGAAGCATTTAATGGGCTTTCAAGTAGAGTATCGACCACCATTTTTTAAATATGGTCTTTTAGTAAATCTCTGCTGCATCCAGCCATGCTACCATGTTATTGATCTGAAATGTGTGCATGTGTGTCGTCTGTATCCAGAAATTAATGAAGCATTATACACTCAATGGAGAACACCTTCAATGGCCGCTAACCTACAGCACCCTTACCATAAGCTATGAACACATACATGTATATTCTAGATGTGCCTGTTCCTCCTTTTGAGTCCCTTGAAACATACAGTAAGTCAAGGTTTCAGTCGATGAAAATGTATAATGCTAAAGTTATCCTAAAGGGTCTTTTAATGGATGTAGCCTTTGTTTCTGACAGGCAGTACACAGCTATACTTTCAGCAAACTCACCTTGCCCTGCTTGGCGATGGTCTGTATTAGAAAGTCTGTTCTAACATTGTCCACATTGGGCACCAAGATGGAGCTGTACTCTGGGGTGAATTCTGAAGGATAAACATACTCCTCTACTCTGGTGCTCCAGTGGACCCACTGACCTGGAAGAAGAAGAAGAAATGGGCACCAAAAAGACAGATTAGTACACAATATGACATGTGCAAACTGTCGTCCAATTAAAAATGAATTTCACAGTAAGGTTTGAAAAACTGACACCTACTGCAACATATAGAACAACATGAGGCATGATGCGTCTGCTTGTCAAGAAGCAGCTTCAATATTTCCTGAATGTTTTTAATTGTTTTAATTTTATGCATGCATACCATCTGCTGTGACATGGTAGTCAAACATGGTGTTGTCGCTGTCAGGAGGAATGTCTGGCAAGTTAAGAGGGATATCGTTGTTCCCTCTGAGCCAGATCTCCATCTTCCTCCGGTCATCCAGTTCAAGTAATGCTCCAGTGCTCCACATTAGGGCAAAGACGTACAGCCGCTCCAGGTGCTCTCTGGATATCTCGCCACACTGCTCCTGTAGAGTAACAGTCAATTTAGATCAAGGACTTTGTTAAAGCATCCACATTAACCTTCTACTGAAGTTTATTTTATAGAAAAAAGTATGAACCTGATGAGTTCCAGCTACTACAGTATGTAACAAAGTGCATAAAACATCTGACATGGTCATAATAGATGCTTAAAAAAAGTTTCACAGACCCTCAAATAATGTATTGAATCCACAGTGTTCTCATCTACAGAGAAATTATGCCATAAACCATTTGAGTGTGTATTAACTCGTCTAATTATTACTCATCAACAGTATTACTGTTGTGTTGACAGTTACCTACCCAATGACCTTTAAAAGGAACACGATAAAAAGACAAACCTATTATTATGCATAGTGGGCACAAGGAGGACTCATATAGCTCAACCAGTGATGTCTGTATGACTATAAAAAGTTTCACTTAGATTGGACTGAAAACTATGCACTAATTGGATCCCTTCTCTTTGCATTAACGAGCTACCATCTGTTTAAACTTCACAACCTGATGTAATTAAAGTATATGATGGATTACAGATCCAACAATAAGTGTTTTACTAATATCATTCAACAGTTTTGTCTTTTCCTAAGAACAGCAAATGATTCAAAATGTCTTATTTATTTGAGTTCTCCCTTTCATACCAGCAATCAATTTTTTTTAGAGCGTAGGATGTACCTTGATCATTAAAAGATGCAGTACAGTCGGTCCCATGGGTGGGAATTCAGAACAGCTGTAACCTTACCTTTTGTGGTATGAGTCCCTGCAGCATGTTGATGCACTGCATGATGACAAAGGCCTCCAGCATGTCCATCTTAAACTCTAGTGACTGCACACTAAAGCGGTAGAGCTCAGCAAAGGAGGAGGAGAACAGTTCTCTCAGCACCTCTGCTTCCTGGGGGACACGTTTTTTCAACCAGCCCTGAAAGAGAGCAAAACAATCACATCATTGTAGTCAAGAGGACGTAAATAACATTAGTCTCACACAACAGTGTGTAGGTCCTGTTAAAAAGCCCAGCTTGTGTGATGTTAGTTCTTAGATGCAGCAGAAATGTCAAGTCCTCTAAATTAAGACAACTGATTACAATTGATCTTGCGGTATGAATAGTCAGATCCAACTCTAGGTTAAACAGAGTTTTTAATATGGTGATTATGATATGTATTGCCTTTGTTAAAGCCATATTTTAAACACACAATACATGAATAGGCATATTATATATCCCTGGGGTGCATCGACTAGCCAAATGTGTCCCAGATCTAGTTTTGATCTAGTCATTTTGCTTTCATAATATGTTATATACCGTAACATAAGAACCACAACTTAATGTTTCTGTGTAGGAAACAAAAGATTATATTTAAACAGTTAACTCACCTCCAGTATGGGGCTCCAGTTGAGCACGGAAGAGCTCATGAACACCATGCCATTGCGTGAGACAGTGGCTGGGGAGGCATTGTCAATGTTATGTGGCTCGAAAACCACTTTACAGTTGGGTGCCATGGGTATACGGTCTCCATTTGCCAGTGTAAGTGTTCTGTTGTCGTCCAAAACTGAGTTTAGGTTCTCAATCCAGATTGCATCAACTGGTCCATCCAGGACGATCCAGATGTGCTCACCTGAGACAGAAAATAGTGTTTTGGTTTATCTACATCAGTGGTTCTCAAATGGGGGTACGCGGACCCCTAGGGCATGCCCGGCGCCGTGGGAGGGCCAGGCCCTCCCATTTGACATTCCTGCCCTCCCCCAATAAACACGATTTGTATTATTTATAAAAATTCAAAAATATATTTTTTTTTATTATGAATACACTGTGAACTTTTATGCTACGATGTATGTGATGTCAGATAGTAACTGAAAAAAATCGCAGGCTACGTCAAATAAATTCATGTGTCTGTAGTGACTTGTGATTCGTCCACATTTAGACCAATCACAGCGTCACACTCTGCCGCCTATTCTGGATTTGTTTATTGTTTATTGTGCATTCTTTATTGTGCATTCTGTAGACTCCCATTTCTGTTTGAATTACAAAATGGACATCAGAAATTGGCTTAAAAGGTCTAAGGATTTATTAAAACGAAATAGCGATGAAAGAACTGCAGCCGATGGTGCTGCTGGCGACCCTGCACCTGCCGTTGCAGCAGCACGCCTTAATGTCACAAGCTTGACCTCGGCAAACCCCGGGGCTGAGTTAGCGAGCCCAAGCCTTGACTCATCAAGGTGGCCGCCGCCAACGCTGTCCTCCAAGGCACAGCTCCTTGTGCCCCTACCATCACCACCTGCGTTGCCACACACCCTGTACCACACCCCCCAGCAGCATCCTCCTCCTCCTCCTCCTCCCCGTGCCGGTGCCTCCACTACAGACGCTACCTTGCAGCACATCAACAGGTACTATTGGGACAGCAACCGCTCAAAGACCAACAGCCCCAAATGATCTTTGGGTTAATAAACCCAACCAGGTGAAACTGGATCGTTATCCAGGGAGATTGTTTTCAGGAAAGAAGCGCATTTTTGCCACTGCATGGTACTACAACAGACCATGACTTGAATACTCTGTAGACAGTTTAAAGTAAATACGTCTTCATCTGATGTGGCTTTTACTGTCAAAGATTTTTGCGACTGGAAACACGCATTACAGACTGATAAAGGACTGCTAAGGCATGCCGCATCAAAAGAACACATTTCATGTGAGAGTTTGTGGAGAGAGAGCTAGATACGCCAGGAAACAAATAAGGAAATTAGTACTTTGGTGCAGATCAGCTGGCACGGAACCGTTATTACGTGTCAGCTGTCGTTGATATTATAGCTTTTTTAGCTGTCAACCAACTCCCTCTCAGAGGTGACCACGATTCACTCCACAGCATGTCCGAGTCAGGCAGTGGGCTCTTCCTATCGCTGTTTGAGTGTACGCTGCACAAAGATGCAGAGTTGGCCAAAATAATGTTCTAAGTTAGCTCGGCTGAGTGAAAGGATGCACCTGCAGTGCATAGGAAAATAAACCATGCCCAAGGCGGGCTAAACAGTTCATCGTCTCCGTCTCTACTTTTTCTCTCAGAGTGCAACAATGAGGAAGCTGCCATCCTTAACCAGTGTGCCTTGCTCGTGATTTACCAGTGTTTGTGCTGCCACGCACACAATGTTCCAAAAGTGGTTTCTATGTTGCCCTTTATTTGTGTATGTATTTGCGATACGTGTGCGTCTTTGCGCATTGCTGTTGGCCTTGCTGTTTGATATATATTGTGCCGCAGGCCCGCAGCACATGACAGTTTTGTGTGCCATCCCATGAAAATCATGTCCTCCCTTTAGACTTCCTCTTCTAAAGTAAGAAACAAGAAATCACAATATGGATACTGCCTATTTTCACAAAGTATTTCATTTCTTCTAAGATATTTCACTCAGGAGACAAAACCTTGAATAATCTACTTTCTAAGCTGGATTCCTGTCTGCTCAACAACATTCAGTATGAAATGCATCCAAAATGCACAATAACTTTAACTGAGTACATCAGATGCATATTTTGCAAACATAAAAGCAAGCAAACATAATGTATACGCATAGCAATCCATACATACATTTTTAATGAAGTGTTAGAACTGAGCAGGAAGATAAAACAGCTGTTTGTGCTGCTTTGAACTATAGACGCAGTCAGGTCCCATGATAATTAAACTTCTCTGCAACGTAATAACATTCTGGTTTCCCTAAGGAAAAGAGAAAAACTCATTATTTGAGAAATAATGTCTTGAATCAGGAGGTCCCTGTTTTGTTTTCCCTATCACTCTTACGTTTACTCGACAGACAGGGGGCTGCTATGGAACCATATTTTCTCATTTGCCAGTTAAAAAGTTACTGTAGCTTTTGTTGAGTTTCCTACGAACCACACCTGTGGTACCTGAAGATATTTGGGTCAATCCTAAAGCATGCATATTCATTATTTGGTGTCTGCCAATTTAAAATTGATCACCAAACAATTACAAAAATTAGATATTCTCAAAGTTACGTAAAATATGATTGCATTTACATGCGTTAGTAGTCTCTGCAATAAATGCTTATTTCCAAGTGTTTTTCATCAAAGTAATATATTATTTGTTAATGTCAGCAGAGCTCACCTTCAAGTAGGCAACCACCTTTGAGTAAGCAGCCTTACCTTTCTTTGCTCTCAGGGTTTTCCTCCAAAGTGTAGAAAAGATGCCGTCAGTCCAGTCATTGGTCGCCACATCTAATCGACCAAACATCTGAGGTGCTGTGATGGCTTTCGGATTCATGCGCATTTCTTTGTGAGGCTGACCACACTCTAGGAATGAGAAATGACATTGACAGAAACATTCATTGATGTACAGCACTTTGTTCAACTCTGTTGTTTTTAAATGTGCTATAGAAATAAAATGGATTGGATTCACTTATTGACATTTGTAAGTATATCTTACACCTCAAATATATTAAAACAAAAATATGCATACAAAATAAATACTTATAAACAACTTGTGAGGTTTTGACTGTCACAGACAAACCTGTTCAATGCCTGCCAGTTATCTTGTTTCTATCTCTTGCACTAAAACCTACCTGTCATTGCTTTCATCAATGTGTGTATGCAAGTTGTCTTTCCAGCCCCACTTGGCCCCAGGGCCATCATGCCATGCCGGACCCTCTGAGTCTCAAACAGCTGGATGACCTTCAGCTTCCAGGGAGGATGTATGATCAGACCTGCGTCCTCAACCTGTCGGAGCATAATAACAGTGTACAAATATTTACCAGTTGAACATGGATGAATGAAGGCACATACTTCACGTCTTTGTCCTCTTTAATGGTAAGTGACCCATTCGTATTTCTTTGGGTGCTATATCTGGAGGCATTTAAAAGTGACATGAAATACTGTATACAGCTGTCTAACAGTCCATTAGTCTTTTGGCGGATTAAAGCCATCCTCCTCATTTCTCTCTCTAAACTCTGTTTACCTTTGTCTGTGTCCTTTCTGCCATTTCTCTCTCCCAGGCATACATACACAAACTCATCCCTCACCCCCTCCCCTACCTGTAAGTCGATGGCAGCCTCTAGTTCTGGATAGCCTGCTTTATCAAGTTGGATACCAGGGAAAAGGTCCTCGATCAGGCTCAGGAAGAGCGGCTCATCCTCATCAATCTAACAAACAAAAACATGCAGATAGACATAAATGTGCAAAAAACACTTGTGTTAAATCTATCTTTGATCCTCTGGTGAGTCTATCTTCAATTTTTGCAAAACAGATGATATATTAGGTTCTATTGTATTCTATGCTATTCTAGACTGACCAGCTTTGATAAGTTCATGTCCCTGAGGACCCTCATGACGATGGTGGACTCTGTGTCACTGGGGTTGGCTCGCTTGGCTGCTCCCAGTGTTCGCAGCACTGAAAGGATGTTCCGTAGGCCAAAGTCATAGTGAACCTGGACAATCACAGATAACAATTTAGATGTCATTCATCAGGAAATGTTTCAAACCTGAATAACAAGCATTTTAAATTATTGTAATAATCTTAAAATAATTGTAAATGTAAATATTAAAAAAATGATATGTTTGAAATCAGAAATGTTGCACTCTTCAAAAAAAATGTATAACGAGCAATACTGGAGAAAAAAAAGTCAAATATTGATTTTATTTGCGAAAACATGTTTTTTTTGCACTCATGGTTTTACCTGTTTGGAGAGTTGTTCCTCACACAGCTTGTACAGAGTGAAGAACTTGCGGGCCAGCTCCATGTTGTCTATAAACCCACAACTGGCCAGTTTTACTCTTATGATGATCTGACGGTCAGGAACCATCATGGCCACAAAGCGGAAGTTGATCTTCAGGTTTTCAGGAAGCTCCTGGCGACCGGCATAACCTGGGTTCTGATTATACAGGAGAGCAAAAAAGATGAGTTTGCAATGGGGTAAACACTATAACCATATTTGTGAGAACATTTATCATTGCATATTGAACAAATCATTTTACAGGACATTATACAGAAGAACGTACAGCAGGTGTATGCAGTTTGTGCAATTTACAGCATAAATGCACTCGTGAAAAAAACTACACAGCATCTTAAGTTAATACTAGAACATCATTAACGTTCATAGCGAACACTATCATTCAGTTAGTTAAATCCCTATGGCCAGAGCTTAGGCTCTCCTCTACACAGAGCCTGCCTTTGATCACACATGTGCACACACACAGTAAAGACAGAAGCGAGAATAATCTCTGACCCCTCTGCCCACATGAGACAACTAATGCTCTGTTTTCTATTTAATGACTTGCCTTGGGATAGCAACTGTGCCAACAAGATACATTGATCAAACTATTACTGTATGATAAAGAACACTGGATAATATCATTTAAAAGAAGCAGATATTTGTGTTTTATTTTGTACAAATGGTGATATAAGACATGGGACAGGTCGTTTCAGTTTATCATTAAATCTTATAAAACTGTATTATCTGCGATACATTGCAGCGGAGCTTTTCGTGCATTCCTGTGGAGGTTGGGGACATTGAACCAGAGTGGTCGGTGTTCAAAGCCTCTATTGCCGAAGCCGCGGCGGGGAGCTGTGGTCTCAAGGTCCTAGGTGCCTCAAGGGGCGGTAACCCTCGAACCTCATGGTGGACACCGTTGGTCAGGGAAGCCAGCCGTCCGACTGAAGAAGGAGGCCTTCAGGGATTTGTTATCCCGGGGGACTCCCGAGGCAGTTGCAAGGTACCGACAGGCCCGAAGGGCAGCAGCCTCAGCCGTGGCCGAGGCGAAGCAGCGGGTGTGGGAGAAGTTCGGAGAAGACATGGAAAAGGACTTTCGGGCGGCACCAAAGTTGTTCTGGAAAACTGTCCGACACCTCAGGAGGGGGAAGCAGGGAACCATCCAAGCTGTGTACAGTAAGGATGGGACGTTGTGGACCTCAACTGACGGAGTGTTAGGGCGTTGGAAGGAGCACTTTGAGGAACTCCTGAACCCGACAACTCCGCCCTCTATGTTAGAGGCAGAGCTGGAGTATGACGGGGGATCGACACCAATCTCCCGTGGGGAGGTCGCTGAGGTCGTCAAACAACTTCACAGTGGCAAAGCCCCGGGGGTGGATGAGATCCGCCCAGAAATGCTGAAGGCTCTGGGTGTTGAGGGACTGTCATGGTTGACACGTCTCATCAACGTTGCGTTGAAGTCAGAAACAGTACCGAAGGAGTGGCAGACCGGGGTGGTGGTTCCCCTTTTTAAAAAGGGGGATCAGAGGGTGTGTGCCAATTACAGAGGCATCACACTACTCAGCCTCCCCGGGAAAGTTTACTCTAAGGTACTCGAAAGGAGGGTCATGCCGATTGTGGAACCTCAGATTGAGGAGGAACAATGCGGATTCCGTCCTGGTCGTGGAACGACGGATCAGCTTTTTACTCTCGCAAGGATCCTGGAGGGGGCCTGGGAGTACGCTTATCCGGTCTACATGTGTTTTGTAGACTTGGAGAAGGCGTATGACCGAGTTCCCAGGGAGTTACTGTGGGAGGTGCTGCGGGGGTATGGGGTGAGGGGGTCTCTACTCAGGGACATCCAATCTCTGTACTCCCAAAGCGAGAGCTGTGTCCGGGTCCTCGGCAGTAAGTCGGACCCATTTCAGGTGAGGGTTGGCCTCCGCCAAGGCTGCGCTTTGTCACCAATCCTGTTTGTAATATACATGGATCGGATTTCGAGGCGTAGTCGTGGGGGAGGGGGTCTGCAGTTCGGTGGACTAAGGATTGCACCACTGCTTTTTGCAGATGATGTGGTTCTAATGGCTTCATCGGTCTGCGACCTTCAGCACTCACTGGATCGGTTCGCAACCGAGTGTGAAGCGGCTGGGATGAGGATCAGCACCTCCAAATCTGAGGCCATGGTTCTCAGCAGGAAACCGATGGACTGTCCACTCCAAGTAGGGAATGAGTCCTTACCCCAAGTGAAGGAGTTCAAGTATCTCGGGGTCTTGTTCTCGAGTGAGGGAACAATGGAGCGTGAGATGGGTCGGAGAATCGGAGCAGCGGGAGCGGTACTGCAGTCGCTTTACCGCACCGTTGTGACGAAAAGGGAGATGAGCCAAAAGGCAAAGCTCTCTGTCTACCGCGCCATTTTCGTTCCTACCCTCACCTATGGTCATGAAGGATGGGTCATGACCGAAAGAACGAGATCGCGGGTACAAGCGGCCGAGATGGGTTTTCTCCGCAGGGTGGCTGGTGTCTCCCTTAGGGATAAGGTGAGAAGTTCAGTCATCCGGGAGGGACTCAGAGTTGAACCGCTCCTCCTTCGCGTCAAAAGGAGCCAGTTGAGGTGGTTCGGGCAGCTAGTTAGGATGCCACCTGGGCGCCTCCCTAGGGAGCTGTTCCAGGCACGTCCAGCTGGGAAGAGACCAAGGGGTAGACCTAGGACCAGGTGGAGGGATTATATCTCTTCGCTGGCCTGGGAGCGCCTTGGGATCCCCCAGTCAGAGCTGATTGATGTGGCCAGGGAAAAGAAAGTTTGGGGCTCTCTGCTGGAACTGCTACCTCCGCGACCCGACCACGGATAAGCGGGAGAAGATGGATGGATGGACATTGCATGCTCTCCAAATGCATTCTGAATTAAATGTATCCCACAGCTGTAAAACCAGCAACGAAAATAAAAGATCCTGAGTATCAGTAGAACATTAATAGCAGTTTATTTTGATTTGTTATCATTTCTTTACAAGAGAATAGTAGTGTTGCGTCACTGACCATAGTAAGGAAGATGCCGAACTCGGGGCTCATTTCCACAGTGTCTCCATCAGTGAAGACAAAGTTTTTGCGACGTTCCTTTTTGCAAGTGAGAACTATTGCGATCTGCTGGGCCGCCACCGACAAAACTGGGAGGTCGATGCGGTTGAACTCGTCAAAGCAGCCCCACGAACCAGACTGAGCCAAACCTGGATATCAGACACATGCGAAAGATCCAAAATATTAAAATATAATCAACTGTCACTTTGTTTTCCTCATCACTCATCCCAAACCACCAATCCCTTTTAAAGAAATCCATCCCTGTATCCTTTATGGTTCTGATTTTTTTTGCCATAAAATGTTTGCACCAATTTTCCGTGTGACTCTTACCTTTGAATATTCTTCCCAAGCCTCTGAAGTCCATCTGGTCAGAACAGTTGAAGACCACAACATACTTTCCAAGACAGCGGCCCATGTCTTTTGTGGTCTCTGTCTTACCTAATAACAAAAGGCAGATTTTTCAAATCCCTAAATGAGGTGCAACATTATGTTATGGAATTATTAACTGACTAAAACTCCATTGCAGCAGCAATGTGTTCAGGCATTATAATATGTAAAAGGTGGAATAAAGAATAAACATAATTAAATAAAAACAAGAAACAGCAAATATAAACCTATCTAGTAGAAATGACATACAGTATATAACAAATAATACACAATATAAAGTATTCTGGATAAATAAAAATCTGCTATAAAAGACCAACATACTTAAGCAACAAAAATATAGACGTATACTACAGGAGCAGAAACATGTATGTTAGGGACAATCTCCCACAATTGTGACATGTACTGCATGCTCAAGTCTTACCTGTTCCTGCAGGACCAGCAGGGGCCCCCCCCATACTCATACCGAGAGCCTGGGCGAGGGTAATGTAGCACCTGACCAAACAGACAGGAGAAAAGTTTCATAGACATGGTAAGGTTGGATCTAGGGTAGGCAATTAATACGTTTTAAATGCGCTTTACTATATTTACTATTATAACAATATAAAACAAATCAACTGTTATGAGGATAAGAAATGTCTCTTCTGGCTTCTCCGAATTTGCCTGTACAAGTTTTAAAAATGTGCTTCCTCACAAGGTCGTTTATATCTTCTCTCGAATGTTATTTATCACAGAATAAAAACAAATATGATTTGATTCTTCAAAGAGAGGTTGGAGGCCAGACAGAGCTAGAGAATTCTGCCCAATAAGCTGGTAAGGATTCAGTACCTTGCTCAAGGACACTTCACTCGAGAGAATAACCTGAACCCGGACACTGTTTTCTCTTTTTACAGCATGGCTGGACTCGATGAAACTGGGCTCGCAAGAAATGATGCATCTTTCAGAGAATGCAGAACAACTTAGACCACTGTAACATCAATTATCTCCCACTGATTTTTTTGTAGTTTTGCTTTCATGCTTCCAAGTCTACCTTTACCACTTTGTGTCTATTATATTATGTCCTTCATCCATTTTGCCACCTCATTCCGTTTGGAATAGTAAAGACAAAGGTTGGAGAATGAAAAGCAGCACAGCACAAACTAACCAAAGAAGATAGTGTTTCAAGAAGGGATAGAAAGCAGTGAGAGAATCCGGGCGGTCATTGCGCCTTTAGCCATAAGTCCAGCGTGGCACTTCCTTAGACAGCTGCTGTCTTCTGGTAGCTCTCCCCCTGCTGCTGTCTCCTCTCATCTCTTTCTCCTTGTCTCTGCTTTTTCTCACATTTCACTCTCTGTTTCTGTTAGTCTGTCATTAACTGTAGCTGGGATTCAGCCTACCTCACACTCTCTGAGTGTCTTCCTCTCTCTATGCCAGTGACAGAGTTTGTGACCACTGTGAAAGATTGCCAACTCCTCCAGTCTCGTTTTTTTTCTTCTCTGTCCCCCGTCTCCCTAATTCCAGTAACTAGTCAGCCATAAAAAACTGTAACCCAATAGAAATTGACTGATGATATGATGAAACTGTTTACTATATCCCAAATAAAAGCGAGTGAAGTTACCTATATGTAACTTAGAGAAAATGGTTGTGGACTGGGTGGATGTCTTTAGATAGACCTGGGCATTCCAGGTGGTAGGGAGGCCAAAGTTTAAAGGCTCATTTAAGGAATTGATTGTACTTTGTCTTGGCAGTTGCCATATTTAGAGAAAGTAAGAAATACCTTTTTTTTGTCTTTGCAGGAGTTATTATTAAGGATTTATTTCAGGATGATTTTGTTCAGAATTTAAAAAAACTGGCCAATCGCTATGTAAAGGATTCAGGATTCTTGAGATTGTCCATTTCAAGAAAGTAAAAAAAAACGTCAAATGCAGCCCCCCCTAATTTCACTATCAGTAATGTTTGGGGGGAAGGGGCTTCAAAAGCTTTAGACAATCTGACAAGCAATTCGTTTAAACCAACCTTAATTGGAACCATTACTACCCTGACAAAACATACACACTTGGTTGGTTCTAAAACTATGATTATGTGTGTCTTTTATAAATGTGCAATATTTGCTGCTACACACTGTATGTACCATCAATCGTGTTTTTATGAGAGTGTTTGTGTGTGTGAACTGTGTTTTCTACCTGTCAGTCAACGGGGTAATGACAAGCCTTTCAGTGCAGCCCAAGAATTCATTCTGGTAGACAGTGGCCACGTCTGTGATGTTAATGATCATCTTGTCGGAGTCCTCATTGAAGTAGAAACGACACTGCTTCAGCCACTCAAAGTCACTGGGGCTTTTGACATGGAGCCGGCACTGCAGAGAGATAGGGAAGGGAGTAAAGTATGAAGAAGTGACAAAGAGAAGAGGCATGAAAAGATGAGGGAGAAGTGGGAAGTAAGTTAAAAGGATGGAGAGAACGGGGAGAGTGAAGAGGGCAAGTCAAGAATAGAAAATCGAAGGGCACCATTCAGGGAGTGATGAAAGGGGGGGGGGATAAAAGCAGGAAGAAAGAGGGTAGGATAGTTGAAAGGAAAGGATGCATGAGGAGGCATGAGGTTAAAAGGAGGTTATATTTAAAAAGGTGGAAAAGGGGGAAGGGCAGGTAATGGGAAGGATAAAATAAAAGAGGTTAGAGGCCATGAGATGATATTGAGTTGAAAGGAAGGGAAAGGAGAGGTGAGATGGATGCGAGGAAAGAAGCAAGTCACGGAGACGGGTAAGAAAATAGTACATGGAGTGAACAGAGAATAGGATAGGAGAGGGTTAACGGTACGTCCACACGGTTCCGTCACGTTGGAGCTTGCCAGTGGGCGTGTCTGGCACGCGACCAACAACCAATCACATTAATCTCCCGCCCCAGACACACAAGCATGCGGTTTGATTGGCTAACGCTTGTACTGGCATATGATTTGATTGGCTGGCGCTTCCGTCAACGCTTGAAAAGTTTAATTTTTCTCAACTTTCGAAGCGAGCAATGGAGGAAAAGCGATGTGACGTCACCCCATTCAAAGTGAATGGGAAGCGTCTCCTTTGAAGCACGCGACGGAACCGTGTAGACGTACCGTAACAGTTAAGAATGGAGGAAAATAAATCATTACAGGTACAAGGGGATTATATAATAAAATACACGTTCAACATTTGTTACTGTATACTTAATTCTATTAACCTTGGAGACCAGTCAGACAATGTACTATGCCTTGAGCTGAGACTTCAAAGACACTAAATATGAAAGACTGAAGACTTTTTGTGAGCCAACCCGGCAAACACCTGACCCCGTGATAGCTGTATACCAAATGAGTTTTACAAAAGGACAGCCGTCTTGATCAGGGGATTCTGATTATATAATTGTGAACAGAGCTTGTTTCTATGGTCAAATGTACTTCAGTACACTGAGCCATTATACAACAGGTCAAGTAGTAGTAAATGATTAACAAAATAGTCACCAGGTCATCAAATATGTCCCTCTGGTGGACATGTATGGTGATGAGGGTCTCGTACTTTGTCCTCTCCACAGCCCCTAAGTCTCTTGTTGTCATGTCAATCAGTGTGTTGAGCAGATCCAGGAACAGCTGGTTGGTCTTTGCCATGATGCGGCGATCATATCGAGAATTGGTCAGGGCCTCTTCAGAGTCCCTTGTCCATATCATCTGAATACCTAGCAAGCCCACCTAGACAAGAAGGACAAGGACAAGGACAACAATATGTAATCGTTGCATGAAATCAAATGTACCGACATTCAAATTTGACTCAATCAAAACAATTGAAATCAGATTTTTAGTACTAAGAAACTGAATACAGATTTTACAGCAGAAAGTTACAGGAATTATGTTAAGGAAGAAAAACTGTGTTAAAAAATAAAGAATATCCCAGAAAACATTTCAAGGACAGTGTTTTGAAACCACTTCTTTGAATCCAGCTTATAACTACCTGAGCAGGGAAGGAGTTGAGAAAGTCGATGAGCTGAAAGCCAGATTCCTGGATGGTCAGCGCAGCCTGTCGGATCACCAGGTGCAAAGACCTCTGTGATTCCTTCAGCAAAGCATTGAGCCAAACCTCGACATTCCCCTCTGCTGTGATAGGACGCTCCAGATCCACTGTCTCCCCTTCCCGTGAGGACACAGCCATAATACGGTCGTATATCTGAGAAAGATTCAATATTTTCATGATTGCAGACGAATAATCCTTTTATGGCATGGTATTTAATTGTATCTGGTTTGTTTCGATCTATTTTCCCTCCAGACCATCTTGTTAGAGGGTTTGAAAGATACCGTTTTCATGTGAAATTGACAAAGCAAAAAGCCAAGTGTGTAGTAGAAACAATAGATGTACCTTGTCATGGAATCGGACACATTTGATGTTGTCAAAGACGTTGAGAAGGTGAGCCTGGATGGTGTGGGAATCAGACGCCTGGCCCAGGATTTCCAGCAGGGCAGGGTCAGAGACAAAGAAGAAACGAGGAAACAGCAGACGCTTCTTCTCCAAATAGCTGATTAAAACAGTATTATAAAAAAAGAAAATGTTACCTTTTATAATTTTGTCTCAAGGCATCTTGTGTTTGAAAGCATAATACACAGGACAGTAGTTGGCAGCAAAGCATTCTCTGCCTTTTGAATACTGTTTGAACTACTCTCACTTCAAGCCTTCGTATGTTTTGAGATGCGAGTTGTTTAAGATTTTACTCTATTTACCCACCCTGTAAGTGACTTCTGGCAGATCTCCAGCTGTTCGAGGAGGTGAGGAAGCAGCTGTCCCATAGTCTCATCCCCCACACAGGAGTGTACTACATTGGGCATCTCGTGGGCTCGCATCATGATCTTCACCCATGATTTGTCGATGTTGGAGAAACGCTTAGCTTCCTAAAAAAGGTTGAGAGAATATAGGGGGCTGTGTTTATTTATTAACTTTTTGCTAAAATCCAGTTGCAATGCAAAAACCACACTCATATGAGCAGACATAATTCACCTTAGGCAGCTGTTTAGCAATGTCTCCGCCCACAAACACAGCCTCCAGGTAGATCCAAAGGTTCTGGACGGTCATCCAGTTTTCTATGATATCAGTGGTGTTGGAAAGATTCTGAACCCACTTCTGAATCTGGGCTTTGAACGGGGTGTTGTACCTACAACATAGATGACATGCATGTAAGCCTAACATTATGTCACACACACTTTGTATGATTGTGTCTACAAGGCAGTCAAATACATGACCACACCTGTTGCTCATGAGAGACCCCAAAACCATCAGGCTGTCCTCCATACTGGTAATGATCTCTGATGTACTGTCTCCTCTCAGTAGTAGTTCCCCGCGGGTTTTAAAGTTGGAAAACGTAAAGGTCTTGTTGTCCCACTCAGCGATCACCTGCTTCAGCTTCTGCTCAATATCACGCTCTTTCACCGCACTGATACAGATATCCTGTGTAAAGACGCATAAGTGGTTTTGACAGATTTAATGGGCTATATGGAAATTATACTAGAACATCAATCTGGGGCCAATTTGAAGGCAATGTGTGAGAGAGACAATTAAAGTGAGTCCATATTGTGTTAAAGTATAGATTACACCTGTGTACATTCCATCAAAAACAAATAAAATCTATTTTTGAAATTGACTCACTTTATGCTATAGAAATACAAACACTTTGTAGCTTTCTCTGGGCCTGCATAGGAATTAGGAAGCCTAAAATGCATTCTTACCTCAATCTCCTCCTTATACTTGAGCAGAGGAGCCTCCATGATGTTGCGTAGCTTGAATGTCTCAGTTTCCACCTCAAAGGTATGGCCAGTAACCTTGGCACAAACAGAATAGATTTGTTGTTCAAATTACTGTATATGTCAAGAAAACATTTACAATTATGATGTTTGTTATTGTTACATAAGTTTAACAGTAGTTGTGATACTGTGATAATATAGTGATGATAGCTCGTAACTGCAGTAGCATGTTCACTGACCTCAGTAATTCTCTTCCAGTGGCGAGTCATCATAGCTTTGTTAGTCATGAGTTCCAGCAGGGGGCAGCACTCACTGAATTCATCTATTGTTTTCTTTAAGTCCATGAAAGCCTGCCACTCTTTTAGAGCACGGGGCAGTTTGCGACACCTGGTAGTTAAAGAATACAATCAGCAACAAACTCATGGTAAATACCAAACTTTTCACATTTGAAATGAACTCTGTCCATTTGGGACACATATGCACCAGCACTGTTGTACTGTGTACCCAGGCCAGAGTAACACTTCTTAAAATTACAAGACAGCATTTCTGCAATCGAAAGGAGTTGAAATGTCTTATAACTAATACATCAGCAGATACACTCCTTATGACTGCTCAATGCATACAACCTTCAACTGGTTTCACACTGCCAGGAGAACACCACGGTGAGAAACATATCAAAACACTTTTTACCTCTAGAATGAAAAACTTGAATCAGAAGCTGATGCACAATAAATATACCCTTGTAGAGGATAGAGTGCAACGTCAGGGCAAGGACATTTTAGTCCTGATAGGAGAGGGCTGATGTTGGGGGTCGAATAATAGACCATGTATAAAATAAAAAAGTGCCAGAAGGTGTTAAAACTTCACTGTGAACTAAATGAAGAATACACATTACTGTCACAGTTGAGGAAACTGTCTACCTCGTCTGAAAGTCCAGTAGCTCATTATTGATCTTCTCAATATGGATGTCAGCCCAGAGGATATCATAGTAACCATTGACTGTTTCAATGACATTGTTGTAAAGGCCGTACAACTTCTGCAGCAGAGCCAGCTGCTTCCTAATCTCCAACAGCTGGGGATGCTGGGTGACAGGAAGTCCAAACAGCTCCTCTCCACCTGTGTAAGTGATGTACTTCCTGAACAGGTTGTCAAATCGATTCTGAAGAGGAGAAGAATGGCAACAAAATATCCCAAATCAAAACAGGACTTCAAATGACATGTGTGTACAGGTTACACTGTTGTTCAACTATTGTAGATTAAGTACAACATATTACAGATATGTCATTTGGAATCATTGAAATATACAACATGAAATAATTTAAAAAACGATATCCTTCTTTGATCATAGTTATCCTGAAACTGGCTTTGTAGGCAACCAGGTCATTTTCAGACCCAAAGAACTAACACATTTGATGAAAGACTAAATCAGGAACTCAGCTATCATGCTAAACTCATATTGTCAATAACAAACCTGGAACATGATGAGTCTATCGCTGGCATCCTGAGGAGCTAGCCCCACCACCATGGGGCCATCCTAAGGCAGAGGAGAAAAAGTAAGTCCATGGGTACATCCCTACTCCTTTTTATTGATAATCTATTTCTAACATTATTGTTAAACCTCCAGTTAATGACTTGATACTGCAGCCTCATAAATTGCAGAAATTGTAAAAGCCTTAAAGCATTAAGTGTTTAGGTGTGTGCATTTGCATCTTGCATTTTATGTCTGTACTTTCATTTACCTTGTCATACTCCTGGTAAAAGTGTTGACAGTCTTCCACGAAGGTCTCCACATTGCTGACCAGCTCTCCTCTGAAGTTGGGCTGCAAGGCCACCAGCTCGTTCTGTACCTCCGTGGTCCGGGACAGAAGCTTCTCCCAGGTGTAACGCAGCGTATCCACCTTATCGGCCTCCTCTTTTGCCACTGACAGGTCATATTTATGAAGCATGGCATAGGACTCCTGTGAGAAGGGAAATATATACAAAGTCAACTGAGATATAAAATCAAATACAATTATAAATAAAGCTTTGGCAAGTTATGAAACATTTATGTGAAGTTTTAATTACTGCATTTCCTCTGCATTGCTATTGCACTTTTGACAGAGTACAAGCTAAAGGCTTACATAAACATTACTGAAAGGCAACATGTACTGTGACCTTCATTTATACACATTGCTATTGAAACTCAACTGCTATATACTGTACACTCTGAATTGCATTCATGTAGACTACTGAAAATGTTAATTCTTATTCACACTGTGCGCATTTGTGTGAAAAGACAGGGGGCCATCAACTACCAGGCTGTATGAAAGACCCAATGCCGTGTTTACCTCTGTGGGACCGACTTTGAAATCAATAGATATTTGATGCTCTCTGATCTCCTTTAGAGATGCCATGGCGATGCGAATGTCATCCAGGTCTTTGATCTGCCGATTCAGTTTCTTTCCCGCTTCATCAACAAAAGCAAAAATCTGCTCCATGTCTGAGCGATATTTCCTGTTACAGTACCGTCCGTAGTCCACCATCCAGTTCTTGGTTTCAGCGGTGAGGGACATCTTCAGGTCCGCTGGTAAAATGAAATACATGTGAGCATGTAGAGATCAGTGATCTACTTTTATTTCATATCAGTGTTTTCTTTAGACAAGTATTGCAACTGAATCTAACCTGTGAATAGAGCCAAAGCTCCTACAGTAATGTACTCTGGTTCAGAGTTTATTTCCAGCTCCAGATCTCGATAGAAAATAATCTGGCTCTCAAACTCTGATAGCAGGGGACTGCCCTCGATGAATCTGTGAAAAATCAAACCAAAGGTGTACTGATGTAATGCTGGTTTTGGCTGGCATTGACTTGACACATACAAAATAAACAGTTTCTTAATGGTAAGAGTCAGATATTAATACCAGTAAATCATTCAATTTATCATACTTTCGCATGGTGTCTTCACGGTCCTTTCTCCAGATGTGATGGTAACGGCTAAAACGATCCAGAGCAGTCATCACTTCCTTTACAACAAAAGAAAACATAAGTGGCATGAGAAATGAGAGCCAGTACAAAAATAAATATTTAAATGTTGTATAAGATGACAAGGTCATTTATCTTTTTAGGAATTTCCAAAACGAACAGATACAGACAATGCACATTTTCAGTAGAAAACAATTGTTGAAGCAGATAGGGAATAATACATACGTACAAACGTGTACCTTTTTGGTGGAGCTGATGGAGGTGCTGAGAACAGACACTAGTTTAACTATCTCCTTGTTCTCAGACACACTCTTGCAGTAGTTTCTAGCTTGGAATGGGATAGCCTGGATCACAGATGCTGACATATCTGAGGTGCTGTCATCTGAAAGAGTTAAGAGTAAAGAATCTTTGTGTGATTTGTGAATGTATCAGACATAAATTAAGCAAAAAAAACTCTTAAACCGCTTTTAATGTTTGTGTGCATGAAATACCTAAAATCAAAATCACTCTCTTCTGATCAATAACTTGATCACAAGAGGTTTTTTAAATAATATATATGTGATTCTCACGTGTTTATAATGTGTTCATATCCAACTTTTCTCTTAGAAAAAATAAAGATCAGCCTGATCACCCATGTTCATGTTACACAACATTACCTCCAAGTTATCCGGGGTGCAATGTGACTGAAATGGCTGCTTCGTCCAAATTAGATTTGTAATTCTCTTTTGTTTAAACCTCTTCCTTTCAAAGCCACTGACATCTAGTTGACCTTTCAATCCACACATCTCCATAGCTCCCTATGTGCTCATAGTCAGAGGGGTTTTGCTCTGCTGAACTGTGAAATAAGGAGATCTGATTATCAAGTGACTGTGGTGCAGTAGCTAATGATTAATGTTCTGGTCTACATGTTGGGAACACTATGGAGAAATCAGTCTGCAGTCAGTGTTGAGTTGTTGAACTCCTGAGGAAAAGATGGGTAAGGTCTTGTGTCCTCTCATACCAGCCAGGCTCCTGTAAGTGGTTGCTCCATCCTCTGATTCACTCTCAGAACTGTCCTGTTTCAGAGCAGCCATCCGCCTCTCGTTCATTTTTCTCTGCAAGAGGGAAACATCAGTATTGAAAACACTATAATAGACATGTTTTTTTGTGTGTCAGAATTTTTAATCCATCACTTGTCAGAAATCATTGCCTCATTCATCAGATCAAACTCACCTTGGAGATCCTCTCTTTGCTCCACTGACCAACTCCTTTGCTGACACTGACTACACACTCTACAGCCCGGTTTAGAGCCTGTTGGACCTCCTCCAAAGCAGGAACCATGGCGATGTTAGGAATGGAAAGGGTCACATCTACTCTGAAGATTGCTTGCTGACCGCTGCTTTTTACACGTGAGTCACTCTCAACTACAAGTGGACAGAAGAAAAGCTCTGGTAAAACATGGTGTGAGCCAAAAATGTACCTTCTCTTGTCCACTGATCTTATGAGCTCAGTGGACCTAATTGTCTACCACACTAGATAGATTCATTGTACCTAATTACATGGGGAAAACATTCTTTCAACGAGGATAATCTTAACATTATTTGATAATAGTTTTGCCTCCCAAAAGAATGTCACTTGGACCCACCCAAGAAATGCATGAGCGAGGAGGCGTGGATGCGTTTGCGCAGCATCTCCAGGGTGTTGCGCGTCAATCTGAGTAAAGCATCCACATTGCGGTGGTTGAAGTAGGAAAGGAGCTCCTGGGCTTCTTCCTCCATCACTTCCATCAAGTCCCTCTTCTTCTTCCTCCTCACCAACGGAGAAGAAGGGCCAACGCTGGCAGGAGGCAGCAAGGTGTTTCTAGAGAAGAGACGGCCCTCTGACCGGCATTCATCTTCACCTGAGATGCAAAAGGTGACATATTACTATTCTGCACATAAACTCCTTTAGCCACGCCTTTAACATAGACAACACTAGCTGAAACTTGAAATATATATATACAGACACTTATACAGGATCCCTATTTATCAGTATATGGGCTTGAGATTGAAGTCTTACCTATTTCAAAAAAGATATATGTTAGGCATAGGGGGTTAAAATTACAAAGTTGTACAAATTGTATTGAAAGTATCCAAATTTGATCCCAAAAGGAAAACGTGAGTATACCTTCACTATCAAGGTGGTCTATGGTCTTGCTCTCAGCACAGCTTTCTTCCTCGACCTTCTCCAGCTCCTCTTTCTGATTATGGTCAAACTCCAGCAGCATGTTGATCAGTTCATTAGCAGCCTCTTCCACTAGTGAACTCTTAGTGTGGAGACTCTGGGCTTGTCTTATGCACATATCCTATACAAATATAACATAAACATGAATTATGCTATAAGAAGGGTAGTGCACAGCAGGCAGCATAGCATAGCATATTATAGGACAGATTGTTTCAATATATAAGGGCATTATTTTGAACATAAAAACATGAAAATGACATGAGCACTGCTTAATTATTTTCAATACACTTTAATCAACCCTGCATATATGATGTTATCTGGGCACAAAATCCAATAATGTCAGGTTCAATTTCTGTCAGCGATTTCTACACAAGAGTGGACATCCCACTGGTTGGGATTTTCATCATTCAATATCTACATAACATCATTGTTATTTACACTATATTGCTTTGTCTGCAGTCAGTCACTCACATCATAACTTTGTGGTGATATCTTAGCAGCTAGTTCATAAAATGAATAATCATGATAGATTACCTGTGGCCTTGACTGATAATGAGCCACCGGGTGCTCATCCACACGCTTTTATGAATGTGATTACATTTGTTTGTTTGTCATATCATCTTTCATATAACACATGGGGTGGGATGTTGTATGACTTAGAAGATAGGCTTGGTGAAAATGTAATAATTACAGGCTAATATTGTTATTTTATTGAAACAGACTATGTATTTACCCTGGTGGTCTGAACAAACTCCTCACAGGTGACTGGTTCATCCTCTGGCAAGACACACAATGTGGATGTACTCATCTCCTGCAGTACCGCATCTATCCTAAACTCCACCAAGTCATTCACCCTGTCCATCGTCAGCTCCAGGTTCACTGGAGAAGCATAAGAAAGAGAGTCAGACAGTGACAGTGGAGGAGAGAACAAGTTGGCAGGCATTGGAAGGGAGGGGTTGAGAGAGTGGAGCATAGAGCGACAGGAAAGAGTATGCAAGTTACTAAAGAGAGAACTCACACAAACAGCAAGTACACACTCAATTAATGGTAATCCTATCAGAAGCTGTCAGCATGTGGGTTATTGATTTGGCGAGATATTTTGCTTACCCAAAGCCTTTTCAATACGGCAAATGTACTTGTCTATGTTCATAGATGTCCAGTTGATAGAGGTCAATCCCGGCTGTATAGCCTCATCCACCTGTGAAATCAGTAATGTATGAGGATGCACTTTGAACACTACCTCTTTTTGTCAAAGATTCACATATCACATGTTAGTGTTACATAAATAACTTAAAACAATGAAAAAGCAGCAAAATGTGCTCTACCAGTCCTTAAAGTCTACACAACAGTAACACACAGAAGCACCCTTTGCCTAGATCAGTGCACATGTTTGGCTTGTGGCCTCCTAAAATGACATATAAAATAGTGAAAATCAGCAAATTGGTTTCAGAGACAGACAGGATTGTTGTATTCATCGCTTCATCATAGGCTTCACAATATGTATTGTTGGGAGGACCCATGCTATATAATAGAAAAAGTAGCTCCACCAAAACTAATTAAAATATGAGAAAAGTCAAATGATATGTTTTTGACTTGAGACTATATCTTTTTTTCTTACCTTCCTGTATTTTAGAAAAGCAAATATATACCCTATAATGTGCCCATAGTTGGGATTGCTTTATTTGATCTATAAGTTTAGACATTGTACAAAGCCCCAATGTTACATGAAGTTGTGAAGCAAATCCATAATGACATGTAAAGGCTAAAGCTATAAATTTAACTTCATTCAGTTTAAACTAAAGGTAATGTTTCAGGAGTGTTTTTCACCGGTAAAACCCAGACAACGTTGCGTTATCATTTCAACCGGAATAATAAGCTAACAAATACATTGTACGGGAGCTATGCTAGCATACATTTTGCTAACCTTATTAGCCTATTCTAAAACTTGTTTACCCAGTGAAAAATGACAGCCATTGTTAACATAACGTAAGGCAACACAATACAGAGCCTATCTTATCCAACACATGAGGTAAATTGATAAAAAATGTAAAGGTATTTTACTTCTAGAAAGCTTAGCTCACCTGAACCTAAAATGAATGCAGTCACTTTAATCCTCCATAAACTCAGTGTCGCTTTTTTTCTTATTATTATTCTTCTTCTTCATATTTCCAATTATTACCGCCAATGTAAATGTATTCCTATCCATTATGCAACCAAAATGTTTCAATTGTGCTATTAAACACATGTAAGTGCCTAAAATGCACACTCGAGGTGAGGTCCATCTTAAAATACAAGAGGACTGTACAGAAGGGCAGAGCCACATTTCTAAAATGATTAATTAAACAGGAATTGGGAACACCTGGGACCGAAGGAGTTGGCTAATTACCCACACCTGTGTTCCAACACTGAATTAAAATAGTTAAAAAGAATGTGTATTTTAAGTCATACCATAGCTTTCTAGAGCCCTAACCTTTTCTGTATTCTTAAAGTCATATAACTATTGGACATTTGATTATTACCACAATTGTATATCCTTACAATAATAGGCCAACTACATATTGGGCAGTTGTACCTTTAATTAGAATTTGTCAATACATACAAAACACACAAAAAATATAGTCATATGTAATAACAACCCGCAGTCTCACGGAATTTTGTGTTACAGTCAAGACATTTATTCGTGTTCACCAACACGATTTCCCCCTTTTTTTCCTGTCACACAGAACGATTTTAAAAGCAATGTGTGTTATTTAGAAAAGAATAACAAATTAGAAGGAAAAAAAGATTTTAAAAATACAGATTTCAGTATTCTGAGGCTCTGAGCCATTTTATTTTCCTCACGGACGGCAAAAAAAGGTCCGACATTATACGTAAAAATAAAAAAACAAATGATCGATGGCTTGATATTGAGTAAGAACATGTTTTTTATGAACCACACAGCTTCCGGTCTTCCAAGACCCGACCAGACAAAAATACGTGTTGCAGGCACGAAACATACTACCAATAGAAATACATTGCTTTTAAAATCGTTCTGTTCGACACGAAAAGAAAAGGGGGAAATCGTGTTGGGGAACATGAATCAATAGATTAAATGTCGTGACTATAACACGAAATGCCGTGAGACTGGGTTGGTAATAACGACTATACAATATATAATAAAAACAAAATAATTGCAGTATAAACGCTAGTTTAAATGCATTTTGAATTATATCATAATAATAATATTGTATTTAATTGATAGCGCTTTTCAAAGTACACAAATACACTTATATCCACACCAGATCTTACCTTAGCAACATGTGGCATTGCCAGCTGTTCAAAAGCACTCTGAATCTTAGCCCGCACTCTTGTGTTCTCACTCAACACTAACTGTAAAGGGAAATATATGATTACAGTTTGTATTCACTGACAATATTTGCTTGGTTGAGAATACTTGCATTCCAACTTCAATCACAAGCTTTTTTTTTATAGTGTACGTTACATTTTATGCTTTTTAATATACATATGAAAAATGACATGGTCCTTATATTTATTCATAATGTCTTAATATGACCTACTTCAGTTGTATGTATTTGCTAAAGTGTAAAACTGTGTTAAATAGTATCAACCTGTAATCTGTTGTAGTTCCTTTTCAGGGTGTCCTGTCTCTGCTGCAACAGAACAGCAAATGGTGGTATCTCCAAATTCATCTTTGTCATGCAGTTCGCCTCCCTTATCTGGGTCAGAATCTCTGGGTCAAAGTTTACAAACAGCTCCCCTGTCTGAGGAGACCTGACGAGCAGAGAGGCCTGCAGGCCAACCCGGGCAACCTCCATCTGGGCAGGATGTGTCAAGGTGGGTTGGGTAGTTTAGAGAGGACAGGAAAGAGACAAAGAAAAAGGGTAAAAGGTAAAAATGGTGTCGACATGTATAGTATGTGCATGTTGTAGGCCTATTTGGACTATACATTTTAATGGTACTTATGCATCCCTCTACCTTTTGCATCCAGCTGTGATGGTAGAGCATCTCAAACTCCAACAGGACCATTGCTACCCTGTTAAAGTTCCTAATGACCCTTTTGGCCTCTGGAGTGGAAAGAACACCAGGATGCTGAGCAAGGACAGAATGATAAGGTATTACTTTAGAAGGAAATGCACTGACAATTGTACTGTTAGTTAACAAAAACATTGCATTGGCAAAGACAAATTTCATAGAGGAAGACGTTCAATTGTACCTGTTGGAAGAGATCCATGGGACCCTGGATCCTGCTTGACAGCTGTCGAGCCCACATGATACGACCCGCCACAAGGGGCAAGTCTCGACCAATCGGAGGCTCCAGTTTCTGCTTCATGTAGATACGGGAGATCATTTCAATGTCCCGGCCATAGTTCTGCAGAATATGCTGGTACTTCTCATCAATGCCGAGGTCTGGGATGCCCAATCTGTTTTTTAGTGAGCCAGAAAATAGTAGACAGCTAATATTAGAATGCTTTAATACATTAATAGTGAATATAATTAACACTAAAAGGGTACTCTAGCAATTACATACAGAAATACCTTCCTTGTGGCATGATATTTTGACTTTTTATTGCAGGAAACACACACATGTAATTATTAACAATTGGAAAATGTCTTAAGATGTGCCAGTAAATGATGTCAGTAAGTCGGTATGCACGGATCCTGGAACAAGCACATCTTTCAAATGCAGCGACTATGCAATTATTACACCAGTGTTTAATAACACAACATTTCCACAAAAGAAACTGTCTTTTTAGGGTCCTGCTGTGTTTTTCATTTTAGCCATTCATTTAGTACTGGTTTAAAACTGAGATGCGATGTGAACGCAATAAACAATCACAAATTAGTTGTGGAATAGAGGATTTGTGGTTTCTGTACTGAGAACCAGATTGAAAATACTTGTTAAGATAAACATAAATCATTTACCTTTCAAATTTCTTCAGCACACTCAGAGCTCGCTCTGTATTTTGAATTTTTTCAAAGGTGCTATCCATGAAACTCTTCAGCTGATTCTGGAAGGACCAAAGGAAAAATCATCTTTATTAAAAAGACAGTGAAGTGGAACTTTTGAAATACAAATGAACATTCCCAGTAATTGCCTAATTAAACTTGTTCTCAGTATGTTGTGGATGTGCAGTGCCTTGCAAAGGTACCAATCATTGTTTTTTTTCTCTTGTAACATTACAACCGGAAATTCAATGGGTTTTGTTTGGATTTGATGTTTAGTGCATATTCATGCAAGGCACTAGGTGTGAACATAATGAGCTCAATCCCAATATTGTTCTATATAACTTCAATCCGAGCAGAGCCCTAATCGCCATAATAACAGAAACAATTATGTCTGTGTGAAGGCCTATACATTGTACTGTACCATATAGAGAAAGTTGTGTCTGTAATATTTGACTTACGTGTAGCTCAGAGGTGCTTTTGCAGAATTCTTCATAGTCAACATCAAAGTCAGTTCTTCTCTGGTCTAGGAAACTGTAGTGTTTTTTCTTCATGTTCAAAACAATAGCCTATCACACACAAAAACACAGGCGTGCAAGCATATTATGTACAACTACTTAGCTGTATAAGCCTCTAAACATTTTTGCATAATGGTTTTTCTGTAGTTAACCTGAGCTAATAGCTAATATTGCTGTTCTGTTTTGAACTATTCTTGAATATCATTTTCTTGACCAACTGTGGGTCATTATGTTCGCAATCAGTTTGATTAGTCTAGTAGTTAATCAGGGTTTTGAGAATAGCATAGGACAAACAGAGTGCATGAGAAATGTAACACCATATCCTTAAGCTTACCATAAATTATGTACTTAACAGTTCACTGTCAACCTCTGTATGTATTTTAATCTATCTAGTTACTTAGGCCTTGACAGGACGGAATAGAATTACATTAGGTAAACTGGAGGACATGCTAAACATTGGCTAGCAAATTGCAAAAATAACTGAACAATACAAGTCAAGAGAGCAACTCACATGAAGAACAACTGATGGAGCTGGTTCTCTGTTTTAATTCCATGCAGTTAGTATTGTCATGTTGCTATACAGTGCCAGTACAGTGGGAAAATGTAATGTCTAGCAAATTTACCACTGCATGCCGTCAATACAATGAAAATGGGCCATGCAAAAAAGAAGGTAAAGACTGCAATTATAAATTACCTCCCATTTCCCCTGCATTTCTGCAGTCTGTACATCCAAGGAAGCAGAAACAAACAGACAGCTCACATCAATATACTCTCAGGGGAAAACACAGGTAGCACAATCTGGTTTTGTAAGTATAATGACTGAAAACATATTTCCTACAACAAACCAAGACAGTGGCAATGACAAGCGTATAGCCTTAAGATGCTGTTTTAAAAATAATGGACAAATGCTATTCTCTCTTTAGCTTGACTGGGAAGAAAATGGTTTGTTTAAGAATTATTTTCTTAAATTGTCAAATCTATTTATTCCTTCAATTATATGCATTTAAGTAATACAATTAATGTTACTTCCCTATTTATTAAAGCCTTTAACATTACTAACCTTTCCCAGTCACTCTCAGTGCACCTCTACAATATATATCAACATTAGGCACTCGTTAGAAGTGGCATTTAATCAGTTAATGGAATGTCGCTCAGAAATATCTTGACAATAATCTGATACCCACTTGAAACCTGGTGGCCATTATCTCCAGTCCTTCTATCTTAGAGTCCTGCAGGGCAGAGTAGGTAAAAATGGTGCTGAACATCTCTAGGATCTTGTTGAGTCGTCGCTGGAATGTGTCAAACTTCCCAAAAATGTACATCTCACTGAAGTCGAACTGTCTCTCTGAGGGAGTCTGTTCCAACTTCTCCTTGGTTTTATGGAAATACCGCTGATACTCCTGCATCACACGGGTTGACATGAGCAAAACGGTCAACTCTCATTTTCACCCATCCATAGAATTACGATATTTGGAAGTTTGCTAACGTTCCTAACATTATCTCTTCCAAGTAATATATTCTATGGTATTCATTTCTAACTTTCAACAACAAATTGAATGACGACACATTACAGTTTATCATGTCCTATGTCAAATTGTATTTTCTATTCTTATATAACAACAAGTAAAAATGGACTATGCTGCAAATAAAGCACATTTGATAACATGGACACAGAAAACTATGAGAGATCAATGATTAACATTAGATATGACGGATTATATCGATAAGCAGTACCTGGTTTAGGTGGATGGCAGCTTTTATTTTGTCAGCTACAACTTGTTGAGGCTGGTCCCATATTGAATTAGAGCTGATATTGGTGATGTAAGCTTTGCAGGCTGTGATCATCTGGTTTGTCACCTGTAGGCATTGATGTGTTTGTTAAAATAAAGATATACATCAGAATTATTTGTTGACACTTACAATTTAACATGTTAGTTCACCGTGAACACGGTTGTCAAAAGACAAAGAAGCATTTAGTGCAATAGTGTTGCATAGTGGTCCATGTAACATCCTGTGTTTATACTCTGTTCAGATCTAATATTTTATAAAGGAGCCACTCATTTGTTCTCTTGGATGTTATACATGGATATTGTTAGGTCATTTTTGTTTTCAACTCTTGATTGATTCAACAATTCCCTTTTTATGAACCAAACAATAAATGTTTCAATGGTTCATTTTGTTTATCCATATAAATCTGAAAAACACAGTTCAGAGGGATAAATGAAGACAATATCCAGACTGTAGGCACACAGTTTTGCTAAATCACATTGTGTATGACAATATAATCCACATCCACTTCAGTATTGTTACATTTTTCAGAATAGCTGCAACCCTACCTTGACAAAAAGTGACGTAATCTTTTCCGATGTGTTATAGTAGCGAGAAATACTGTGAATCATCATGATGGCATTGATCAGACCAGGGATTGCATCCACCATTGAAACCTGAGATGACACACAAATGAAAGCCAGTGAGTGTCCTTAAAGCTTATTATGTGTCCTTGCACAAACAGAACATTGAACAGTGTTTGCGTCACCGGCCATTTATAGAACAGACCATTACAGCTTTAAAAGATTCAAGTATTTTTCTTACAGGGTCACTGTTGTAGAGAGGGTCACAAAACTTCTCCAGGCTATAAAGATACTTGACATTGTCTTTGGCCTCGTTGGCTGAATCAGTTATCCTGGAGTCCAGTTCTCGCCACGACTGCACAGACAAACCACACTTATTGCATTTAAAAAAAAAATGAAATACAGATATTTAGGACAGAAGACAGTTTGGCAGAGTTTATTATTGTCCTATAAAGCAACAAAATAACAAAACATTTTATTGAAACCTTGCAGGGACTGAACCCTAATTTGTGACCTTTATGATTTTAGATTTGGCCATCAAGAGAACTCCCAGTACAGCCTTAACATCGGGGCTCTTGAGTTGGTCCAGAAGGTAGTTGAAGCGCGACATTCGTTTCTTCCAGTGGTCCAGCTCAGCCCGAGGGCCAAGGTCATCGGCCTCCTTCCTCAGCTGGTCACTCTCAGCTAGAACCTGCAATACATAAGGACTTGAAATCGACTCACTGTTAAGGCAACATTTCTGCACTTCAACCTTTGCTTTATTATTCTATATTGTGTTCTGCTAAAACACTTAACGATGCTTCAATTTTTTTAATTTGATAAAGATTAAATTGTGCATTTTCCCTGCCTGAGCACTTTTCAGGATGAACATGAGTATCAAGCATTTGTTGATCCAGCTTACTGGAATATTCAGAACATATCCAGTCATATATTTGGCCAAAGCTCCACACATTAAGATTTTTCAAGCCAACTTTGATCACAAGCAACTCACAATAAGGGAGAATATATAGCAAGCAAGCACAGCAAGTTTAGGTATAGTATATCATGAGTTTGAGGATAACATCTTACCTGTTACCTACAGTACAGTGACACCTCTCACCTGTTCTATTTGTTTGATCCAGACTTTCATGCAGGCCTCTATATTTTCTGTGGTCTCTGTGCTGTTGGCTGCTGCCACGTAGTCAGATGGGCCTTTCAGCACCCGCAGGTCAAATGTGTCACACACCTTCAATGTAACCTGAAAGCAAGACATGACATTGTTTTGTTGTGGTTTCTAAAATTGTTTCTTTTGTTTGTTTTTCGTGAATGTAATGGAAAATAATTGCCTGTAGTCAAAGCAGGCTGCTCTCAACTATTTTATTTATTTTTTAGGTGTCTTACTGCTTCAATGAAACATATTTATATGATGAAAAAGGTTGACAGAAGTTCAAACAGCCTTTACTCAGCTAAATTAATCCAAGTAATTATGTATTTTGATGCTTTTTTGCCAAGCAACATCCTAATTACTTTCATGGGTTTGATGTCTGGGCAGTGCACAAATATGTAATTTAGCTCTTGACTAAAGTCAAATGCCTTTAGTAGTATTTTTTTGCCGTTTCTCTCAAAATTGTAGCAGAATATGTTACTTACCTTTTCTTGCAGGCTCTCCTGTGCTCCAGCCAAAACAGACACAAAGCCTTCCAATGATGCTATGAAGTCCTGTTTGACGGCCTGGGCCTGGGGACTGGCAGGCTCCCCCCAGCCGTGGTTCATATTTGACAGTGTAGGGATGAAGATCTCTGAGAGCAACTGCTCCACACTTTTTAACAGACCCCCCTCTGTTGTGTCCAACATATTAAAATTGACATCCTAAAAAGAGATAGAAAGGCGCACAATTACCAACATTTTACTGACTTAAAAAACTCTAAGATACCACCGTAACCCTGGTTCTGTTATAGCGTATCTGTACATCACAAAGGGGTATATACCTCTGCATCTGTGAGTGTTCTGGACCTTTTTCCTATTTGTAGAATCTTGTAAGTGTGACGTTAGGCACAACCTGCAGATGAACTTATATCTTGGACAGAAATGTCCCTAAATGTTGCTTTATTCCTATAGTGAGCATGCAGGCACAGGCTTGAGCAATTGCCTATACCAACCAGTGGTTAAGGGGATGCTTGTCAATTAAATGTGCCTCTATGTGGATTAGACAACAATACTTAACATTGGAAATCCTCTAGTCCTGTCCATGTAGATGCACAGAATTCATACTGGACATACAGATGAGGCGAATTGCGGGGGAAAGAAAGCCATCATCTCTATTTGGGAACCTAACAGTATTGGGTTGATTTTGAAAAATAAGTGTGCTTGGTCGCAGTATAACCTTTGGGCTCCCCACAGCAAACTGGGTACCTTCCAGAAGCACTGAGATTGTATTGTGATCACTACATTCTAAAAGAGGACGGCTGTTTCTTTTTATGAAAGCACCTTAATATACAACTGATTTAAAGGTTCAAAAGTTGACCTGCTAATGATGACTGGTAACTCCAATAATAGGGAAATCTGACAGTGTCGATAGCCATCAAGCACCACTGACAATAGCATATCTAATGTGACATGCAAACATAGCCGCAAGATAAAACTCAAGATAGAAATGCCTTCTTGTGATCCTGAAGATCATACAAAAATGAAAGGATAACTGCAAAGATGCAATTGAATATATGGTCTAAAACAAACACTTGCCATTTGCAATTGTAAAGTGAAGCTCCGGTGGATTTTATATTGGGTTTTTAATGTGTAATTCCGTTCACATTTTTGATAATTATAATATTTTGTTTACATACATGTATAATAGGCTTGTTTATTTAAGGTAATATATTATTACAATAAATTGGTAACACATGTTTCAGACATAGCATGTACAATCCAAAAGTGGGCTTGAAAATGCAGGCGTGCACAAGCACACATACACACACACAATGTGGGTGTCATGTAGCCGACACGGCCGTTTATCAGTGGTTGTCAGGAGCTTTGCTGCTCTCAGCAGGTGATCAGCAACAATCAATAGGCACACCTGCCTGTGTTATCAGAGCGCTATTGTTTCCCTTTTGTCCCACTAGCTCTTGATGACTAGAACATATCTTAGACAAGGGAAACCATTTACAGCGTGAATGGGCTCAAAAAGAAATCACTGCCAAAAGAAAAAGGAATCAATCTTTTTTTTCTTTCAGGTGAAACTTTCATCTTTCATTACAGTGTACTGTAGGAATCATTCTGGTTGATTTTGTCATTCAAGTGAACTACATATTAGTAGGTGCCACAGTAAAAAAAGAAGAAGAATCTAACCCTGATCGTCAAGACTTTATTGTTACAATTCTGAAAGGGTAGAGAGTCCCTTACTCTGTGTATGTTCTCAGAGGTGATTGCCTTAGAAGTGTTGGCTCTGGTGAAGAAGACACACACTCCGGTCAAAGCTACATCCCTCCCGTCTGTCACAAACACTTTGGACTTTTTGCTGCAACCAGGCTTCTGGGCAACAAGCTGGGAGGGCACAGGGGCTGCTGCTGCTGCTGCAGAAACAAAGGATTGCACATAGAAACAACACAAGGTATCATCACAAAGCTTGACTTCTCACTGTAGCACTAATACTTAGCAATTTGCATTTGCTCAGTTCTGCCATGATTGTTTTTGCCAACATAACTTGATTAATACAAGGACAGCATTTCAAATGTATGTGTTGATAACAATTAGATATATTCTTCACATTTCATACATTTTTATAAATGTTGATATTAAACTTTCACATGTTACCTGCTTCAACTGGCTCAATGTCCTGATAGAAGAACATGAGGTGTGGAAGACCCTCAGCCACAAATAATTGCTCCATGCGTTCAATCTGAGAAAGATGAAAAGAAAACGTTCAGCTTATCATACAAAACAGTTCCCAAGACCTAGAGACATTGTGTTTCTATTTGAGCCCTTAGTGTAAATGCAAAGAAAGGCTTTCAATGTTACTGTGTTTTTTTAAATATAAAAAGTTTTACAAATATACAGGTTACCTGATTTCCCTCCAGTGTGGCATCTTCCACATCAGATTTCTCCAGTCCCAGGCATGAAGCCACAATGCTGAGGATGTAGTCATGTCTTCCATCTAGCTGGGCCCGCTTAGCTTCACGTTCCTCTTTCAACTTTTGCTAAACAAAACACACAGAAGATTTTGATTTGTATCGAATAAACGATTGTCATTAAATGTCTCAATGTAATATGTTTGGATATATTTAATAGGAAAAAATACTCACTGGCAATAACAAAAGCCACACAATGAGAATAAACCATCACAGGAGTGTGCACAAATAAATCACCACAACATTTTTAGACATCATTTAAATTAAGTCCACTTAAAGATCCACACTTGTGTACAGTTTCAGAATGAGCAATAGAAAAAAGAAACTTAAACGAAGAAGCCTCCCCATACTGTCATTGCACAGTATCCATCCATACTGTATGTAGCCAACACAAGAATGACAATAATGTCATTTAAGATTTCCAAATGTTCATCAAATGTACAATGTGTTTACATTTCTCTCCTTACAGAAGCACCCATACAAAGTCAGCAAAATGCAGGTTTCTTGAAATGGATCAACAAACAGCACAACTCATTTACAACAGTTAACAAGCATGGCTTGTATTTAGGATGGTAGGAGAGTGAAATTAACCACAATGGGTTGCCAGGTTACGCTGCTAAGTAACACTGGACAAGGTCAGCGAATAATGAAACCTAGTGGCAGCTGCAAGATGGATTTAAATTCTCTCATTTACCCTTCCTTCTGTTAGCCAGGAATATTTTGTATTCTGGCCAAAATACTTCTCTCATTGACGTCAGCATGGTCAGACACTCTTTTACAAATAAGCAGTAAACATCCGACTGTGACGGGCCTTGCCAAAAATAGAACCCTTAGGAGCTAGCTATTTTATATACCTGTCTGTTTGAACAATCGCTAACAACTTTAAACTTTATCATTGTGAAATACATATGAACTCATATAACTTCCCTCTCATCATGTCTCTCCTCTTCCTCTCTCCTATATCCTTATATATATGTTTTTTCTTTCTTGCTAACCTAAACTGGCTGCAAAAGTATGTCATGCTGCATACAGCATTCTTCCTGGGTGAGTCCCTTGAGCTTGTATCAAGAATCAGATTTGAAAAAAATAGATGTAACAGATTAAGGGATAGTAGTTCAGAAAGAAACCTCACTATAGTCTAAATAAAAGAACCAAAGAGGAATGATAAAAAATCCAAAAGATAGTAAGAATGAAATGAAGCAACAAAGGAAGACATACATTTTCAAAAACAGATAATGATGTAACTGACTGAATCCCAAAAGAAAGACAAAGGGAAAGAGATTGTGATCGTAGTTGTGCAAAGCGAGAAAACTGCAGGGAAGGCAAGAGGGCTGGAAAAGTGGATTTGGAGCTGAGAAAATGAAATAACAAGATGAGAAGGATAAACTCTATGAGAAGTCAGGCGGTTTGAAGTTTAAATTTGCATTATTATATAGACAGGGGATTTGATGTGAAGCCAGACTGAGGTGGAGCGCTCATTATGTGTGTGTCAATAAGGTTAGTGAAGGCAGCATCACATTAGTCCTTTAGCAGCCTCCAAAGAGACCAGACCATAACAACATTGACTTTTAAGTTATTATAGTGAAACAAGGAAAATAACAAGTGGTGTCCTTTGCTATCAACCTGCCTCAGAAACACAAAACAAACGCTATCTGCAGAATTATTAACTTTCTCAGAAACCATGGTAACAAACTTCCCTCAGGAACAGTGGGTTCAGTCACACAGGTCACTTCAGCTGATAGCAGGGTGGTTGCTGAGCACACAGCACTGCAGGCTTGAAATGTACTCTGATTTCACAGTTAGTCAATTCAAACATGAACTTTTTTTTTTCAGACCTCGTAAAGTTACCTAATATTGGAATTGGTGCTCTGCTTCACTCCTACATTGACAGCACACTTTTTATTTCTTGACTGGTGATTTCATTTCAAGATCCATAATCTTCATATTTGACTTGAAATTATTATACTGAGCAGGTGTATTTGATTTGCACACTCAATTTTTAAACAGATGTTATGCTTCCAAAACCTTTCATTACTTAAAAAAGAAACACACCAATATTTCAAAGTTACATTTTATATTTAGATAAGCTGCAATACACCACTACAGAACTCTTAAAATAAAATAAGAGTAAAAAACATTACAACTAAACACCAAACTTGTAAAAGTATCTGGAGATACACACCCAACCGCTGACTTCATGGGTACCCCAAAGAGAAAGTGGGCTAAGCCATCAGTTGCTGGGCGACAAGCCGTTTCACACCTTATCTCTGCCTTTATTTCAAATTGTGTTATCAGCCACCTCAGTCTTCAGTTTAGAGACTAACAATGCAGACACAATGCAGTGTGGTGCTGATTCTTCAAACTAGTCACTGCTGAATGCAATACACAAAACAAAGAAGCCAACAAAACCCGCCTAAACAATGATATATGGGCATAAACACAACCCCCTTTAGTTATTCCCCTAACACAGAAGCCAGCACTAACAGCCCTAATATAATCTGCAACATTAATAGCTTTCAAAAGCAAACAAAGCCAAATCCTGAGATAAGCTTTGGTGAAATTGATAATCCCCATAATAAACACAATGTGGTTTTAGGAAATAAAGAGAATAACAGCGATTACAATAATGCGCAGCAGGACAATTTGGCAGGGATGTCTGATAACTTGTTTTATTCTTTTTTAGCAACCTGCCAAATACAAAAAGATTATTTAGCTCATTTTAATCCAAATAGCACATAGGTCAAAGTAAACAAAGTAGTTGTAGATTATGTTTCGCAGCTATTTATTCCCATTTTTAACTTTGAAAAATAAAGATGCCATAAAACGTATGTGGATGGATAAGCTAACATTGGAGTGAAAACTCAAATGAAACCCCAACAAAAACAACAACAGTGCTCCATGACTTCTTACCTGAATGAGTTTTGTAACCGTTTGTTTCCAGAGCTGCTTTCTAAACACCTGCGACATGTCAGCTGCTCACCTCTCAGACTCAAAGCATTCTAAAGTATATCTTCTGAGCTGCTATCACATTCTCATCTGCATCTTCCCAGGGGAGCTGTACACTCTTATCCTCAAAGTGAGTCACCCTATCAAGTTGTCAGTGGTAACCAGTCAGCCAGCTGAGCTTAAGTATGTCTGCTTTATGTTTAATGTCCATTGTTGTCATTAGTGCAACAGTATTCACAGCCAAGGTGGTCAATATAAAACTGTTCAAACAACCTGAGAGAAATTAGCAGTCTGTGAGCTATTCATCACGCACTCAACTGTGAATTAACACACCTATACTGTATGGAGAGTAAGAAAGGACTAACAGTGACAGGTGGTCTATATGTATATACGGCCAATCCACAAACATGCATGAATGTGAACACATTAACACACAGGCACATAATGAGCACACACCTCAGCTATCACTGCTCCAACATGACAGAGTAGCAAACAATAAGATAGCAGTACATTTTGTGAGGTGTGTTGTGGCAAATTGGAAAACTAGATAAAATACGCGCTTCAGAGTGAGATGAATAGGCTACTTACTGTGTCACCTGATCACATGTATATTGATCTAGATCAGTGATTCTCAACTGGTGGGTCGCGACCCAAAAGTGGGTCGCGGACCCGTTTTGAGTGGGTCGCAGATGTGTGAGTGACAAAAAAAGAAAATCTTAGAAAAAAAAAATCCTTTTTTTGTTTGTTTGTTTTTTGGGGAAAAAGTTACGGTGGCCCTGAAGTGCAAGACACCACAGCATTTCACAAAACACAACAGCATTTCACAAAACGCCACAGCATTTCACAAAACGCTACAGCCTTTCAGAAAACGCCACAGCCTTTCACAAAACGCCACAGCATTTCACAAAACGCCGCAGCATTTCACAAAACGCCACAGCATTTCACATTGGACGGAAAGGGTAGTATTCCTTAGGGAGAACACTTCTTGTTTGTGATTGGACAGAGCCAGCCAGAGAAGCACTGCTGTGATTGGTTGTTTCTGCTGCCAGTCAAGAAATGACGCTTGGCCCAACACATCAGCTGTTAGCTGTTAGCTGTTAGCGCACACTCAGAGCTCACAGCTCCTCAGATCTGTTCAGAAACTGGACAAAAGTTAAACATATACAAAACACAGACTGTCTAAGTCATGGCGAATACAGTCGCTGCTTTATTTATGTCTGTATGACGTTGTTGTGAGTGTGGACCAAGCGGCAAACTCTGGGGAAGAGCCGGGACGCCAATACGGAAATGCTACATACTGCAGTTCATATATTGGCCGATAGGCGATGACTGCAGAAAGGAGCAATTTCCATAGACCCCATGTTAAAATGCCCAATTTTACAGCAGAAAAAAACATGTTTCTTCTCCCTGGCTCCATACATTTTATTATNAGAGAGTCCTTGTTTAGCTCACTGAGCCTCTCAGTCTGACAGGAGAGGACTCTCCTCTCCAGCTTGTTGTGGAACAAACAGCTCCTTATGTCCGTTAGTGCAGCTAGCACCAGATGCTAACAACACAGTCCCTGCTGGCACCGGTGCTTGCTCTCGCTCGCTTGCTCAATCACAATGAATTAACGCTTTGACAAGTCTGCAGACAAGACGGCAGGTGAAAAGCTTTTAAAATGGGTGTTTTCTGAATGGAATCGGATCCATTAGGCCAGGGGTCACCAACCTTTTTGTCACCGAGGGCTACTTCAAGGGTACTGAGTAATACGAAGGGCTACTTGTTTGATACAAACTTCCTGAATAACATAATTGCACGGTTCACCTTTAATGATAATATTATTATTAATAATAATCAGAATACATATTAATTTACTGTATGTGAAGGACTGTCTAATCACATGTTAATGTTAATTATTCCTCACAATAATTATTAACAATGATTTACCATTGCTATAGCAACCCCATTGTTTTGTTATGAAAATGTATCTATATTTATACACATTCTCGCGAGATCTATCAGGGGTCGTTGTAATGTTGCATTCACACCGGACGCGACTTCGCTCTAATCGCTTGAGTTTCATCGCTGCTGCCAGTTGTGTTTACTCGCATCATTCAAACAAGACGCGCTGGCTCGGGAGC